GGAACCCAAATTTCCTCAGGAATCGAATGGAATAGGTTTTAAGGCTCTATCTCTCATAGTTTCCGAGATAATCGCGATAACAAAATCGCCAAAAAAATTTGCCGTACTTTAGGACATTTGTACCAACACCTACACGTCACTAAACACCAAAAAAATTCAGAAAAACGTTTGTACCATTTTTCTGAATAATCTACGACTGTTTTTGAAGCTGTCAATGGTTTGTACTTGGTCTCATTATCCTGTACAGTAAATTGTTCCGTTTGTACTGCGATGGGAGTGGAAGTACGGAAGATGAGACGTTTGTACCCACATCAAAACTTCACGAACTACATATGGAATCCATTACGATGATTTTACGGTTCATAAAAATGGAATCAGGTGATTTGATGAGAATAATAATAATAATAATAATAATGCATCATTTTCGTTGATACAAACGAGTACTACCGATTTAGAAGCTATCTGTATGTTTTCCTGACGTCCTTCATACATTTAAGATTTTAGAAGCGGGTAAAGTATTGAAGGGGTTGATAAATGAAATAGAAAAATATAGTACATACAAGTACTATCCATGCTGAATCCTTGCTCATGAAAATTTTTTCCGTACCTTCATTTCCGACGCTGCACGATTTGTCTCGCACCCCTTACGTCTAGGGGTGCGGGGTACAAATGAAAATGAATGTAGTACATTCAGGTACTCACTGAGTACAATCGATACTATAAGAAAAACAATCGATTTATCAAACTTCGACTCCAAGTTCACACAGCTTCTTCATAAAATTGAATTTGCGAAATCTGATTAAGAGAAAAGCAAACTATTGAGTGAACAGTCAATGTTTATGCGATACTCTTTGAACATTTCGTAACTTAACAAATTATTGTCATCACAGTATTCCGAAATTACCCCTTTGCGAATCTTTGATATAGTTTGAAGTACTGGTGAAATAAGTTTTTTTAACCGGGGGTGAGAACAAAATTATATTTACGATTTCGTTGATTAAAAATGGGGAAAAATATGGTGTGATGTCGGAATTTGAACAAACTCCTCCCTTCCCTTCTGTCTCGAAGCTTCGCAAATTACAGACCCTCCCCCCATAATCGGCGTAAAGTATTTCCGTTTTGCACGACGTGCGTGAAGTTTAGAGGTCGTGCACCCCCGAAAAGTGAACTCGACAGGTCTTACAAAAAATGAGAATGAGGTGTTATAAGTGCGCGCAAAAAACTAGAACTTTACGCACTAGTAGGTCAATATACTATTTAATGGGACAAAAAGAGAAACATAAGAAAGTGATGTTTGAGAATTTTATTAACTTTCTCAAAAATACTGAGACGTGATACAGAAACTGGAGTGTAAGAGAAATTGACTTAAGATGAATATGGGAAAATTTCCGGGTAGTATTTTTAGCCATGTATCTACTTACTTGCAATGTCGTGAATAACTTTGTGGGTCTTCCAACTTCCTTTGAAGCAGTCCTAAAATAGATAATTCTGAATTTCACCTCAAAGTTCATTGTACTCTAAATCAATTTTTGAGAAAGCTTTTCAAATTCTACAAGAATTAACGTCTCAGTTTCATAACGAAGATGTTGAAAAGAACAATTCATAGAATTAACAAACAAAGTATAGCTAATAAATCAATTGCAAAGTATAGCAAATGAGTCAACAACATAATCCTTTTATTGTTTTTAAAAATGAAATTTACTCATCTCATTCGAAAATGATTTGACTTGTGATTATGAAATTTCTCCGAATCGTGATCATTTTCCGGAATAATTTGAATATCTTCATGGGACCATGAATAAATGGACAAGAATTATTGCAAATATTTTAATGTTCCCATGACTAATTTATCGAATACTAATGATGACATTGGTAAATTCCATTCTGCTTGATCACTCCCCGGACAATTCCTAACCTAAATGACTCCCACTCACCTGACTGCAGAAATAAGAGCCCTGAATCCCAATTTTCCGGCATGTTGGGCACTGGAGACTAGCAACAGCCTTGCACCCCGGAGTTTCGCACATTCCGTATGCCAACGACATTTTTAATTGACCTTTAAACCTCACGTCCACGGCAAAATTATAAGAATGGGCTGGAATCCTCGTTGCGGTAGCCATGTGCTGTTTTACCGACAGCTCAAAGTCCGTTCCAGAGACGGAACCTTGGGGAATCCCCGGAGAGAGGGAGTTCCCCTCCATTTCTCGGCGTTTCGGCCAAGAGCGCATCAATTCAATCTCACTCGGGCTTTTCATAAATTTGATTTTTGTATTACTAGAGCGAATTCTTCAGTAGTCGATGGACGTTTGGACGAGCTGAGCTTCCCTAACAGGTGAGCAGCGAGTGAAGGACATTAATTTTGCTTTTGTTATCATTTTTTTAATTTGAGTAATTTTGTGGGATGTGACAGGCGCTGGACAATTTAATTTCTTTGTTGGGAACCTGTTTCTCAAGTAATCACGTAGATTCGTCTGTTGTTTTTTCACCTTCGCGCAATGGTTGCGATCATTTCGCATGATTTATTACTCAGTTTTTATCTTTTTTTTTGGCGAATAATATTTTTTATTGATTTTTATTCGAGAAAAAATGTGGACAGGCGAGATGAATGGGTATTCTCACATCTTCTTGGGGCAATTTAATGTTTTTTCAGTGAAAATTTATATTTTTATGAGGGATTTAAATAAAGTGAGTTAATGTTTCTAGGGGAATTTTTGACCGATGAAAATTGGTAGCTTTAGAAATCGCATTTATTGATGTTTTCGAGCCGAAAAAAATCGTGCTCAGGTATCTTATAATCTATTGAAAGAACAAATAAAACGCCAGACGAACATTTTCTACCGCAATTTCGGTTGATTAATTCAGTTTATTGAATCGTTCCGCATGATTTATTCCTCACTTATTTAAATTGAATAATATCTTGTCTTAGTTTCTGTTCAAGTAGAAAATGTAAATGAGTAGAATGAAGGCTAGTTTTTAGTTTGAACTTATGCTGAAAACAACTGAATGTTCTTTCAGATAATATAGATTTATTACAGGACAGAACGAAGTGCGCAATTATTCTAGAAGATTTTTTGGTCCATCCAAATAATTAAAGTTGAAAAAAACCAGTTAAGCAATAAAAATATATGAATTTACCAGTTTCTGTCGAAGAAGTACAGCGCGATTGAATACGCTTCAATCATTTCGCACGAAAATGATGAAAATTTTTTGAAGAGAAAAAACAACAACTAAAAACAATAACTTTTTACTTGCTGTTGTGGAATGTGAAAAATGTAAATGAATGAAATGCACAACGATTTCTCAGTTTAAAAATTTAAACTCACATTCTCGGTTGATTAATTCAAATAATTGAATTCGTTGTTTCAATCGTTCCGTATGATTTATTGTTTACTTATTTAGATTGAATAATATCTTGTATTAGTTTCAGTTCAATTGGAAAATGTAGATGAGTGGAATGAAGACACTCATAGAATTAATGTTGAAAAACCCCAGTTAATCAATAACCATACATAAATATACTAGTTTCGCGCAAAAATTGATTTCGCATTAAAATGATGAAAATTTGTTGAAGAGAAAAAATAATAACAACACTTTTTATTTGTTATTGTTGACGGTGAGAAATGTAAACGAGCGAAGTACATAACCGTCTCTCAATTTTAATGTTCTGCTCAGGCAGTGTAATGTTTAATGTTCTTTCGGAACATTTCAATTTTTTATTGCCAAATTAAACCAAATGGGTAATTTTCCATAGACAGTTTACTACTTCATGAAAATAAATATCTGCACAATTTATATTTACTCGCATTTTAAAATAATTCAGTAGCGAAGTGGTAAAGCGGTTTAAGTCGACTTATCTCCTAGTTCAGTTTTTGAGGAATATTTCCGAATCTAAGGGAGACAGCAAAATTTTCATAATTGCGTTTGTTGTAGCACACAATCGGCTCTGCAAAAAAGGTTATAACAACAAATTCGCGATCTCCCTTAGATTCCGAGATATTCATTGAAAACTGATCAATAGTCAAAATTGACTTCTACCGTTTTACCACTTCGCTACTGAATTAAGAGCCATTTACCAAGAACTGTTGGAAACAAGAGTTTCGCTCGATGATTTACATAACTGACCGAATGAAATGAATTATCATCTCCGCTGATAAGAACCACTGATTTTTCTCTTCCGTTTACAGCCCACCAAAAATGAACAATTCAGTGGTTGTCATTTTCCTGGTTTGCCTGGCCTACGTAATAGCTGAAAATGAGTCTAATCCGAGTGACCTTGAATCTGGCGTACCATTGTCGCTAGCAACTAACGGAACGAAGAAAAAGTCGTGGGGCGTTATCTATCCCGGTAAAAAATTCTTGAATTGTATTGTTTATCGGAATGCTCGAAGAATTTTTCTCGGAATTTTTTTATCCACCACTTCCTCGTTTTCTTTATTCAGCTGATTCTGCAGGCATTAGTCCACCAATTAATAAGCTCACTCATGCTTTGATTGCCGCTTTTTTCGTCGGAAATTAGTCATGGGGAAGTGAAAGTGACAAGGATGGATTTGGTGAAACGTTTTATTTTTTCTTGTTCTCAGTAGGGAAGCGATAACAGAGAATGAGCCTAGACCACTGCTTGCTGATTATTCTACTATTTTTCAAAAGAAGAGGTTGAGGAATATTTATCGGGGAACTGTTTTGATACAAAATTTGAAGGACTACGAGGATATTTGATATTTTATTGATATATTTTTTTATATAGAGATATTTGCAAATTGGTAATCGTGGTCATGCATTCTTGCCAGATAACTGTTGCAGCAGAAATAATTCAACGATCTCTTTCGTTGTTTAAAGAATTGTCTAAAAAAATCTATCTGAATTGAGTATAAAATATATATTTTTAGTATAAATAGATATTTATACCGACGCCGATGGTCCAGTGGGCTAGACGCAAGTCTTTCGAATTTTTCAACGGAAGGCTCCGGTGAGCGGGAGGTTGCTAATAGAGTAACCGCCTGTACCGGCATGGGTTTCCTGTGGTTTCCCATGCTAGTCCTATGTTCTACAGGAGTGCGAATGCGGTACAGTGCGGAATCCACAGCCGCATGCATAGGGTTGGATAGAGTTGCGAAATCAGACTCGACAAGCGAATTCAAAAGGCCGTAAAAAAATAGATATTTATAAATATTTATAATAAATAGATTTTTTACATTTAAGAAGGGATTTTATATAGCGTTCCGCATCTTTGTGAGGTCATGGGAAAGGAATGAAGTGTATTTTATACTCAGTTGGGGGATGGGGATTTCAATTCGAAGATCATTCTTTTGTATCAGGCCGGGCTGTAGCAAGCCCTCTTAAGTTTAATATAAGGGTCAAAAAGTGGAGGAAAAAAATTATCTATTCACGCTCTTTTCCACTTTAAGGTACTAAATGGTGTGGACAGGGAAACAAAGCAAGGGACGACAACGATTTGGGTAGATTCAAAAGGACAGACAGTTGTTGCCGTGATCACGACCGATGTCCGGATAAAATTAAAGGAGGAAAATCCAAACATGGGATACGAAACAATGGCAGTGTGACAATGTACGTGATAATCTACGATAACTCCCCGCGTACGAGAAACATTTGATAGAAAAACCCAGCGTTTACTCTAAAAAATTCGATGAATTTTTCGCTGACTCCATTGAACTATTCCAAATCTTCTTCGTGCATTTTCAAATAGAAAAATGCTCTGAACGCGATTTATCAAATTTTATTTTTAACGAAATTCGGTGTCAGTTCTTGTGAGTACTTGCCAGTAGCCGTCGCCCAAGGCCATTCAGCGAAGTCTTCACATTCGATGCACATAAGGAGTGGTTATAACAGGAAGAACAGTAAAAAAAGGTTGAAATTTACCGACTGACGATAGAAACAAATAAAAATGAGTTTTACAACGTCAGAAATGTGATAAAAATGGAATAGCATCGCGAAATAGTTCACATACATGAGAAATCAATACTTTTTTATTTTCGTATAGAATTTACTCGTTACAATTTATTCAAATATTCATTTACCAGTTATAAAACATGAAATTAATTCCTCATTCCAGTAATTCCATACGCTAAATATTTAATATCGAAATAATCGATAATCTTTTGAACCAAATCCCCGATTGCCCATGTATTCTCCGACGGAATTTTCTTATATTATCGTGATCGTCGATAATTAGTGGGGGTCATTGAAAAGTCCTGAATATTTTGGTAACGTACCATCTACGATAATCAAACCTCAATTACCCAATCGATTCGGCAGAATTATAAATATCGAAGGATTTATGGATTACTGATGCCTAAATTAGATATTTCAATTATACACGAAGAGAAAAAATCAATAAAAATTACCAGAAAAAAACGTATAAATTAGGTTTCGAAACATAATCCGCGAGCGAAGTAAAAATCCCTAAAAAGTGTGAGTCGGAACTGAAATTGTACGAATCGCCACGCAAATTCTACGATTTGTTCCGTAAAAATTGACCATCCGTCTGAAGCCTCACAGCTGTGGGGACAACAAGTCGTTCCGTAATTTTTCCCCAACGATTGAGAAATTTTACGGAACGGAACGCAGAAATAACTCACCAGCTTCATAAAAATTGTTGAACGTTCAAGAATTTTTGATTTTGGAGGCACAATAAGTCGGCAAGTTTTTGTAAGATTTTACTTCTTCGGGAAAAATTACGTGACAATATCGTACTTTGTTTGGTGATGAACCTGAGAATTCACTGAACGTTTCACATTTCTTCTCTTCCATTCCTATAAAAATAGCCGGAAAACGATTCCCCAGTGCGGATTACGTGAATTGTTCCGTAATTTTTACTGAATATTTCTCTCCGCGCACAAAATTTTCTCTGACTTTTTTATATGCGAAATGACATCCCTCAAATCTGTCACCCTTTCGCTTTATGATTAACGGAATTATGAACGTTTCTCCTCTCCAGATTGAGCTGTCAGTGCGACGACATTTTCTTCGATTGCCTCAAGGGCGTGCACTCGAAGGCGAGCAAAATCGTCGGCACCTTGTACTTCGATATTGTCAAGAACAAGTGCTTCAAGCCGTCAGAGGAGCGGAGCGAAGAATACGTCCTGACGAAGAGTAGGAAATTTTCGAGGAACAGATTCATCAAGTTTGTCGGGAAAATGTTTGGATAAAGTCTAAACGGAATCACATCCATTTATTTATATCTCTTGCTGAGTGTAGGCTGATAAGCGATGATTAAACACATGTGCTTCTCGACTCAATGAGGATTTCGAGACGTCACGAGCCGTCAATAACAAAAACACAAAAGGTCATGAATTCACGATAAATATTTGATGAGATTTGTTTTTGAAACGCCAATTTTCGTTATTCAGAAACTGAAAAGAGGACCGACTATTTTCACAAATGTATAAAGGAGACTGGTAATTTCCAAAAGATTATTTTGAGAATCAATATTGAATTGATTTGAATAAAATATGATGTATTGATTCGACGATTCGTTTTATTTTTCCAATTTTGGAATTATACCAATTCATAATAATAATAATAATTAAAGACATGTCTACTTGAGGATTTTCTCAGCTGCGGAAGTGTTTTCTTCATTTGGGGTGTTGTATGAAATTGTTTCATTGAATGAAATGTTTTGAGAAACAATGGAAAAATGACAAGTTACCGATAAATGAAGAATATCTTTGAATCCTAGGGAGATGAAGAAATTTATATGAACACATTCGAAACAAGCAAACTCGTCCTTAACTACGAGTTATGTAATTTTTTTTTGCAATATTTGCCTGATAACACGTCTGATAACATTTTGTATCGCACGACGTCTGTAAATTGAAAATTTACACACGCGGATCGCCTTTGGCGAGCGTAGTACACCTCCCAGGAGTCAAAAAATATTTACGCACCCGTATCGAAACATACTCTCTCCGTATATTCGATTTACAACGCTGGTTAACTACCTTTGGGCATTAAATAAATTCAAGGAGAATTCAAATTTAGAGAAGAAATCCCACAGCGCTAGACGGAAAGCGAACCCCGGGTCCCGGGTGAATTCTGTCCCCACAGAATAACAAAATATGAAATTCAAATAATACAATGTAAAATAATATTGAAATATAAAACAATATAAAATAAACACCTTGAGAATTTTTCCACGGACTTTGATTTTTGGCTGTAAAACTGTTGGCTCTAAAACTATAAGCGGGAAAGTCTATCAATTTAATTCCATAATACCTTTTTGATAAGTTTTTTCGAATCCAAACCACATGAAGATTGTTTTTACCCGAACAGATAAAAAGTACGACAGATCTTCCTATACAATTTAAAATTGATAAAATAATCGAATTGAAATATGTTCAATTTAATTCATTAACTTATCAAACTGAAAATTCATTTATTTGAAATAATAATAATTCTTTTCAGTAAAATATAATTATAGGTTTTTTTGTAATGTACTATCTCAACACGTGAAGAAGCTAGAAGAATTTTATGGAAAATTTCTGTTTCCTGTCAATAAAAATGAAAGCTACAAGTAATGTCCTCCGACGTTTTGTTCTAAAAAATCCACTCTCCCTAAAACTAATGGCATAACTTATAACAATCAATTCACGTTCAATTCATTCCTTTTGAATTCCTCCGAACAGTCAACAAAACTCACTAGCGAAGCGGTAAACCGGGTTAAGTCAATTTTGACTTTTGGTCAGTATTTGATGGATATCTCGGAATCTAAGGGAGATCGCAAAATTTTTCTCATGACCTTTTTTAGAACCCTTACTTGGCTCTACAAAAAAGGTCATGATAAACATTTTTCTATTTCTTTTAGATTCCGAGATATTCGTCGAAAACTGGACAATAGTCAAAATCAACTTAAACCGGTTTACCTCTTCGCTACTGAATTGTGTCATTGTAACTGCGATTCTATTGGAGTCATTGGTGACCTTAAGGGAAAAATCAGAATAAATAGGAAGTGATTGGATGAAACTTGATTAATATTAACTACCTCGTTTACCTTTCCCACGAGTACTTGTTCACCAGTTCACGAGTAATGTCCACAGTTGGTGTTTATCAAATATTCAAGCTTGAATGAGCAACAGTCCCAGTCGGCACAACCCCCAAAGTATCTCTCTCATAAAAGAGAGGCATCGTGCATAACACAGTCAGTTGCCACTTGGAAGTTAATGGTTACGGATTGTTGTTTACAAACATGAAGCGATTGGCATTTTTCATTACAGTCTTGGCCATTTTGACGGGTGGTAACGCACAGTTCGAGGATGATCAGTTCGATTTGGATGAGGGCTGGTTCACCAGCGAAATGTACAATGACCCGTACTTTGTGCAGTTGAGAAATAGAGGGTATACAACCATTCTACCAGGTAATTACCCCGTCATCATTTAAAGATATCCAAGTACTTTAGCCATTTTTCCTCGAGTGAAATACTTTTCTACTTTTGTAGTCGAACGTCAGAGCTTTTATTTGAGCCCCGTTTGACCCTAAGTTTCCGGGCATTTCAGAATGATTTTATTATTTAAAATTTGCAGATCTGAATTTCAATCTCGATATTGAAACGTTAGACAACATTTTAAAAATCTGAAAAAATTCAAAGTTTACTGTTCAAGAAAGATTGATGAAATAATGGAAAATTGCAATTTTTTAACATCACGATCAGTTTTTATAAATAATATAGGAACAATCAATTTTTCACCATAAAAATCATTTGTTTAGAATCGTAACAAAAATTACGATAAAATTGTAAAATTTATTCATTCAAATTTATTCATATTCGGAATTTTACCCGAAATCAATTTCGTGCCTACAAAAATAAGGTTTCCGAAAGTTTAAACAATTTCAATTATTTATTTATAAACAAGGAATGTTTAAAAAAATGACAATTCTGTGCATGATGTAATTTGAATGATACTGAATATTCATGGTGTTTTACACGGTGAGAAATTCACGGAGACTAATCCCAAAAATCACAATTCATGGGCGGATTTCTGTGAAAATTTCATGTGAGAATGGGAAAAAATCAAATTTTTAAAATTTTGATCAAATAGTTATAAATTTTAATAAAAAATAATGAACAAATGCACGGACAGAAGTTTCTATTTGTTATTCACTTCCGTGAAAACAAAGTTTCATAAAATTCCTTGATTTATTAATTTCCATCGTACTCAATAAAATTTCCAGTGCCCGCATATCCGTATGATCAATACTGTCACTCAAAAACCTCAATAATTTCGGAGAATATTTTTTAGACTTGAATGCAAATAGACAAGTATTCGTTAAAACTTACTTAACACACTAATTTAAAAAATTAATTACAATAGCTTCCTCTATCGGGAAGTTAAAAATTAAAAATTCCTCATATGTTTAACTAACCCATTTCCCATTTCCCGAAGACCCCGCTCAATTCTCCTTCAGGAAATACATTCCACACATTCCTCTCCCACAAAGTGAAGAAAAAGTATAGAATCTGATTCGCGAAAGACGAATACACGAGGATGAAAAATGTAAGAGTGCCAGAAATGACGGAATTTCATTCCACTGAAGCAAAAGAAAAATTCGTGATGAAAAATGATACGAGAAATCCCCTCCCGCTTCAATAAAAATTCTCATTAAATTTATTCCATTTCAAAAGGTTTCCCTATGCCTCAATCAAAGCGAAGATTCCCCAGTACCCACTCCTCTAAGGTTTCATCAGCCGATAATTAATTTTCCCTTACATTCTTATTCATCCGTTCTCAGTGAATTATTTCAAGTTTTACCCCCATTTTTCTCTCCAAGTGTTGTATCTTCCCGCGATAAGGATAAAAAAACCATTGTCGCGTGGAACTTTTTTACGATTCCGAGAAGATGAATGACAGTGAGAAGCAAGAAAACGATAAAGAATGCGATAAAATTTATGATTAGGTACGAAATGGTGTGGCAGAGGCTCGATCGCCAAAAGTTTTGATGACCTTGGAAGATACAATCGTACAGACTCATGCTGTCGTGCCCACGACAATTGCCCGGACATCATGAAACCTAAGGAGACCCTCCACGGCCTCACTAATCCCTCGTCCTCCACCAGGCAAGTAAAACTCATTATTTCCCCCGCTTTATTCTCCCTGTTTCACTCCAATCATGAAGCACAATTGATAGGTTAATTAAACTAATTCTGCATTGAAATTGAAACAAATGATTAGCCTCAGCTGCAAGTGCGACCGTGAGTTCTATCATTGTCTGAAGGGGAATAAAAACTACCCGAGCAAGACCATTGGAACACTCTATTTCGACATTCTGAAGAAGCAGTGCTTCGAGGAAGTGGATGGAAAATATGTGTGGAAACAACCCCAGGCGTTCTCCGAAGGAAAATTCATACAGTTTTTGAGAAGACTCTTGTGATTTGTCTGTTTTAAAAGAGTGTGAATATACTCCGGTTGAGTCATTCAGTGTAACGAGGAAAAATAAATTCAAAAGCCGAAAAAAAAAATTATTCATCATTGATAATTTTTCCCATGAATCCATTTTTTCCATAATAGTCTCTCGTTTGACGTGTGTGTCGAAATAACACACCATTTCGGGATCGCAGAAACATAAGTTATTTATAACAAAAGTTTGACAGTGACGATGATTTATGTATTAGGCATAGATTTTTTTTTTGTGATTTTTCGAGATTTTTCTGTAGATTTTAATTTTATCTTACCTGTGTTATTTTTGCACTTCTAGATTCATTATTGTCCATAATATTAGACTGCCGATTGAGGACAAACTCAACCAGAATTTTTTTATTTATATTAAGTCTTTTGTTTCGAATTTGTTGCAGATTTTAATCTTCAAAAAACGTAAAAATTACATTCACCCTACTTTAACCCTACACTGAGGGAAAAACGACACAGTTCTTAAACAAGTCTTACTTGCACCCAGAAAATAATCTTTTGAAAATGATCAAAAAAGGATTTTTTTGTCGCAAAAATAGATTTAGTAGTTCCAAAAAAATTGCATTCTCTGTACACGCAAGAAATGTCATTTCTATCACTACTCCTTCGTTATTCGATACTCCCACGCGTATTTTGCTCCCGAAAAATCTTTGTTTTATGCGAAACAAGGGATAGTAGTTTTTGGTTTCGACTGTGTAATAATCACAGACAAGAAATGAACCCTTAAATGAAATAATAATAATGATATGATAGCAATCTTGTAACTTGGGGATAAAATATTTGTTGATGAATTTTCCTCTATATGAGATATTTTCATTCTGAAAAGGCACCGTCTGGTGTAAATTATCCGCCTCTTGAGCCAAATATTTCGTTGCTGTCGAAAGCAGAACAATTTTTCATGTTTGAGACTTTCAAATTCGAAGCAAACAAATTCCTTTTTAACAATTTTCAACTAGCGATTTTATTGGTCCAAACGAGATTTGTTTGATAATGTGTTTGTTCAATCTGTTCGCGGTAATATTATAATTCAAATTTTATAAATTGATTATGAAAATAATTCTGTCTGAGCCCCAATGTGAACATAATACCAGAAATGCATCAATAGGGACTGTCACTTGTGATTCTCTCACGCAAAAATTCGTTCTCATAAATTTTTCATTTATTTATTTTTATTATTCATCTTGAGTTGGTTAACAACATCACAGTAACACAAATAAAAGAAATAAAATACGCAAGATTATTATGAATAATATCCAAAGACGTTGTGAATGGTCTCAGTGTCGTTGAATATATTCCAAAATGGTTTTACATGCAATTAAGGCGAACGAGAACGTTAAACCGTGAGTCTACGATGTATGACGACTTAATTACCCTTGGTAAAACGAATGAAAACGCTAGTCTGTATGAAAAACCTCCTCCTTTTACCTCTTGAAGCTTTAATCCCGGCTAAAAAATTCACGTATCATCCTTCCTACAGCAGTCGTTGACTCCTCTCTTTTTTTTCGTCTTTAGCATTTGCAAAAATAATAAAAAATCAAGGGGAAGGCCTCCACTCGTAAACGGAAAAATGCGTGGGGCTCGTACACACGTTCACAATCCGAACGAATTAATTAGAGAACTCGAGATGCATTTATATGCGAATGCACAAACTTTGATTGTAGATCTCGTTTTTTTTTTAATTGCCCAGGGTCAATGTATTGTCGAGATGATTTAGTTGCGAAAGTTTTTTCTCGAGATTTTTCACTTTTTATGAGTATCCAAAGAACTTCATTATTTTTTTTTCGCGGAATCGTGGTGGTCTCGAGGTTGTAATATTTTAATATTTAAAGACTTCTATTATTCCATAAAAAATGGCATATATGATGAAGATTATAAATGCGTTACCTTGCAAATTTAATCTATTTTTTAGTAGTTAATGTGGACGATTTTCCTTTACACGAAATTACGCGCTTTTAATATTTTTTAAAATTTTTATTTATTCATCTCTTTGGTGTTACAAATGTTTTTATTTGTTTTACACCTAACGCGCTTTTAATGTATAAATAAATATTATTTTCAAATACAATATATAATTTTATCTTTATAGCAACTTAAACAGCATAAAACTTTATTCCAATTAATAATTAATACAATTTCCCGAAGCTTCAAATGACAAAATGATAAGAAAAGGAATTGACTGACCGGTAATGTCAGACGGAGAAAAAAATTCCAGAGAAATTACTGTGGTACGACGGTAAAATGGGCTCATTTGAACGGACCCAGAAAAATTCTCGTGCCAGCACTGGAATTTCTGCCGTGCGCTACAGAAATTTTTCGCCGATTTACCGTGAAAAATTCTTGTACTCCACAGAAAATTTTCCGGTGCTGGCTAATTTTTCCGGGTCCGTCCAAACGAACCCATTTTACCGCACTGTCAACACATCCTCAGAATAATTGACTTCGAAAACTTCCTCCTCTTCATTTTTCACTCCTAATGAATTTTCCTCTCTCCAAAACTTGTCTTTTAAAATTCTCTCGCTTTTACATTTTCTATTTCTATTTTTTTTCTCTCACGGGGGAAGCGATTCGTTAACGCTGATTAATTATCCCCCGTCGCTCTCCTTTTTCGGTATAACACCTTGGACTTCTACTAAGAGCCGAATGCAGTTGTACCTCCCACAACAAACTTTATGCATGAGCGATTAGAAAAGAAAATGAAAGATGGAACAGGAAGGGAAATTAATGTTGGCACGAATTTGAATCAATTTACGAGGTGAGGGAAAATTGAAACATTTGAGATTCCAACTAGAAATGCTGAGTGGCCTGTGTATCTGGTGCCTCAACCAAGCGAAATATTTTAATTAATTTCGCTCCAACTACCTCGTGCATACAACACGCAGGAGATGCTCGGGGTGATCGGAAACTATTGTGAGCTCAACTTTTCGCGTTAATTATTGTCACGTAATTTTGGAAATTCATGGAATTATTTCGGGGCATGCGATAATTTGATGAGATACATGCATTGGGAGAGAATTCCTCCTGCAATTTCAAGTACTAAATCTTGAAGTGTTCAGCAACTCATTTTCATCAATTAATTTCTTGAATACACTGGGAGAGACAATTAGCTCTGCCGAAACAATGTATGTTCCACGTCAGAATAATTGATGGAGTGGGACAGACTTATTATTTGAGGATACGTACTTTGTTCTTACAAATAGAAAATTACAATTTGCAAAGAATTTCTCTTCATTTCAACATACTCTTGCCAGACATTCTTTACGATTCTGAAAAAAGGTCGCAATTTTCAAGATTTGCACTTTTTAATTGAGGAATCCTCTCCAAAAATTAAAGTTGCTTACTAATCGTCAGATTTTTATAAAATTGCTCGAAAAATTTGAGTAATTCAATCACTGCAAATGGAAAATCTAATGTGGATTTACACATTTTTTAAATATACATAAAACATATACTTCATATATTTTTTTTACATAAATTGGGCCAATTCAAGATATTTTTTAATATATTTTTCAAAATATAAATTTTTTCGTGTGGGTGACTTCAGAATTACCCAAATCATAACATCAATTTTATAATAATATTAATTGATAATAATGTTCATGTCATAATACATTATCATACTGTATTATCATTGTCAATACATTTTAGTCACAATATTTTCTAAAAATTATTGAGAATATGAGAATATACATGATGACATGCATAAATGAAAGACTGCAAAAAATTAAGAATGAGAAGAGGATGGAGAGAGTTTTTTCATCATTATTTTCGACCCCAAATTATTATAGGTATGACCATTTTTAGGGCCGGGGTTTTACGACGTAAATTTCCACCCCAGAGGTCTGCGGCTGACGCAAAGGGCGCTCGGAAGGGTGATCCCATAACAGTAATTCGATAGCCGAACTATCCACACACGGAATCAGTATAATTCCCTTTCCTTTTTTGTTAAATCCCCTTGCGGATTTCAGAAGACTTCGGGGGAGGAGAAACATGTGCTTTCGGGCATCACCCGGTTCACACATACGTAAATGAAGGAATATTCATTGGGATAATTGCATCAACCAAAGTTTCTACCGAAACTGTTGTGAATATTGGATTTCAACCGGAAAGAGAGATTGTTTCAAAATTAATCATACGTATTGTTATTTTTGCGCTGTAATTCAGCGGAATAATCGAGTAGTGATGAATTACACGGTTGAGGAGAAATTTGTAAATTAATTATATTTTTTGCAATCTTGCACAGTAGTGCAAATGAAGATGACAGTATTCACTAATTGTTTGCATTGTCTGTAATGAGTGGAAGACGCAACCCAACATTTCTCCACTGCGTAATTAGAATAAGCAGACCATTAGATAGACTCCATGGGCCGCCCTGTGTTACGGAGTAGCGGAGCGCTGAATAAAAAAAACTTTTCAACTTTGATCGGGAATAAATATTTATCGCTAATATCTACAGTTGAAAGTGTTTCAGCGTTTGTTCAATGACACACTATTTGAAAAATTTGGCTGAATTTTCCGGGAAAAAAATATTGAATGCGGTTTAGGGAGAAAAAGTCAATGAAATTTCAAGTTTTTCTGGAAATTCAAGGGAAAACTCAACACCTAATTGTTAAAAATTTTTGTCTGAATTTTCGGTGCAAAATTCTGGAAATTTCAGGCAATTTTGTCATCGAAAATTCAGAATTTCCTGGAAAACTCAAACAGAACTGCAATTTACGGTTCCATTTTTCCCTGAAAATGGATAGAAAACCAGAAAATTCTGGTAAATATATTCTTGAATTTTCAGGACAGTGACACAGAATGCGATGTAGGGGGAAAAAATCATGAAATTTCATGTTTTCTCCTAAAGAAAAACCACTCCAGAAAAAAATTTCCCACAGCACATAATCTAAAAAGAATCCCGCAATAAACCCCCATCAATAATCCATAAATGTAAAACAACTCCCCCAGAATCATGAAAAAAAACCCGAATGATTTCGCAATAACTCAAGGCCCTCAAGACAAAACTCACTCCCTTCTCACCCCTCGCAAAACCAACAAAACGAAATCCCCCACCCCTGAGAATATCCCTGGGCGCTCTCTCGTGGCTTCACCTCCTTCGGGCGCGCGCTTTCGAACGTCACATCTAGTCGGCCCGTGGCAAACCAACGGACGGACGTATTACCCGCGAGATCACAGAACAAGTCTCAAACTCGCCACCAAAACAACTCCGTCAAGCACTTCCGTCATGTGTTCAATATTTATCCTGACCCCGTGTGTGCAATTGACAACGGAAAAATAGAAAAAAAATACGTAACCGAGTGTGAAGACTGGGAGGCAATCTATACGAGTCAAAACTCCCTCGAACTTTGACCTGCAGTCGTCAGTGAGCTGACCGATTATCGCACGCCACGCAACGTTCGACGAGTAAAATCGTGAAAATAGAGGCATTCCCATGACGACAATTATCAATTAAACAATCGCGATAGAAAACCAACAAAAAATTGAGCAAAAACCGCAAAACTCTCGCGCGAAAATCAAATCAAAATTCATAAAAAATAGAAGACAATTGTTTTGTAATTGTTACCGTAACAAAATCACTTTGAAACAATTAATTAATTAATTATTTTTGTTAGGATAAAGAACGTGAAAAGTTCGAAAAAGCTTCGAAATTCAAAATAAAATATACAGACATGTGAGTTCAACTGGAGGAGCGCGAAAATAGTCAAGTGTCAGTTAAGGTTTGAATTAATACAGAAAATAAGGCACAAGAGGGATTTTGTGAGTGGGGGAATAAAAATTGAGCCGCAAGTTTTGAATAAAGTGGAAATAGGAGTGAAGAGGAAGGAGTTTAGCCCTGGAGGAAGCTAAATCGGATTACATGATTTGATTTTTTGTTTCACCGAGTAGTGAAGTTTTTTATTCTTCCCGAAGGGGCTGGTTGTTTTGTTATGACTCAGTGGAGAGGGAGTCTAGTGCCTGTTGATTTGGTTGAAAAGCTCTGCAGAGATGAGGCTGCATTCGGGGTTTCTTACTGTTGTTTCCATTTTCTTTGTGGAGAGAGTCACGTGTCGAGTTTTACTGGGGAATAATGAGACGATTGTCGCGGGGGGCAGGAGGAAATTTACTATTGAGGAGTTAGTTAATGGACAGTTTCCACATTCTATTACGGGCGATCTGGATCTGGATGTCTGTAAAGCAGGTAAGTTATGGTTTTTTCATTGTTATGAATGGGAATTTGGGAGGGAAGGGGTGGGAATTAATTTCAATTTTTTTCAATCTGTTTTGGACTTCAGAGGTGATGAGAGATGGGAAAATTTTTGTGAGGGGCACAACACTACTTCTAGCCTACATGGAAAAATTTATATTTTGAAGAATATTTTTAAAAATATATGGAATTGGTCCATATTATATATATTTTTCTACATATTTTTTAATGGGGGAGGGAGTAGTGTGTTAGAGAATAATAGAAACAAATTTGTGAATGGAACTCATGTATTCGCCTTAGACGCAGAGATTTTTTATGAAAATTTAATTAATTTTTCTATTCCTTGGATTTTGTGTAATGATTTATTCATTCACATAATTGAACTAACATGATTCATTTATTTGAGAATGATCTATTCTTCAAACGGAGAATACCATGAAAATTTTTGGCTTTTATCCTGTTCCGCAAATATTTGACAGAAACTATTTATACCGATACTTAACTGACAATTTTCTCAACTGGGCTACGTGCAGCCGATTGATTAATTATAATTTCTAATTGAAAATAAATAATTAATAGGGTTTTTAATAGCGATTAATAACCATTGCATCTGCACCACTCGCAGATAACTTTTATCACAGTACTTGTATTGATTATCAGAGCTTTATAGCGAGATATCAATAGAAATAAATGTAGAGGATAAGGTGATCCTGCTCTGTAACAGACTGGTGATCGTGGAAAAGGGCCGGGTGGGCTCGAAAAGAGCCTCTTATCTCCTGTCCCCAAGTGCCTCTGACCGGAAACGAGATTGAATGCCGTAGAGAGCTACAGGGGGGATAGTAAAAATCTTTTTCTATTTTATTTATCATCTTTCTAGCTCTCTACCTTCTTGAATCACTCTGAATCATTCATCCTTTACCAATTTCCAATGTTGTGCATTTCTCCTTTGGTTTATAGCCTTTCTCACAATAGGAATTCTTTCTTATTTTATTGCGGAATGGGAGAAAATGGAGGAAGGATTGCACGTTACAAATCGAATTCGATATTTTGTTTAGTTTTTTTTTATAGGTGAGATTGTATTTTTTTTTACGGACTTCAAATGATAAATGGGTTTGTTTTTGGTAATTATGCAATTATGTCGATAATTTATGATTATGTGGGAAGACATCATAAAACAATTTTCAGCTGAAAAACTTTCAAAAAAATTGTTGAAATATTTTTAAAAAATTGGACGTTACAAATCAAATTTTACATTTTGTTTAGTTTTTTTTTATAGATGAGATTATATTTCTTTTTCTACTGATTTAAAATAATAAATTGGTTTACATTTTTGTTAGTTATGCGGTAATGTCGATAATTAATGATTATGCGAGAAGATATTATGAAACAATTTTCTTAGTAGAAAAACTTCCGAAACATTTGGTGAAAAATCGATAAAAATTGAACATCACAAATGGAAATTGACGTTTAGCTTTCAAATGGAAGTATTGTAATTACCAAAAGCGCAACCCATCAAAAAATCTTAAAGTTCAATTCACACATCAATTTATTCGATTTTTTAATGATAATTTTTTTTTGTAAAAGAAAAAGATTTTTTAAAAATTGCATTGTTGTTAATTATAAAATTATCTCCATAACTAATGATTATCCGAGAACACACCAATGGGCCATTTTTATAGCTGAGAAAATTTCCAACAAAAAAAGTCTCCCAACATCACTGATTATCGAGATAATTTCAAAGTTAACAAGTAGAAACACATCAACTTCAGCGGTTTTACGAGAAATCTCGATTAGAAAAAGGAAAAATTGAATTGTTAAATTTTCATGACATTAATAGCAGTGTATTGTCACCCACCTCGAGCTATAAAAGACCACAATTCAGATGGAGATCAAAAGCTATTGGATAACGTCATTCGCATACCTCGCCTGACCAACTCCCCCCAACAGAATGCCTCGTTATACCATTTTCTGTGGATTATCTGCACGAGGGAAAGACGAACAGCGGGGGCAAATCAACCCCAGCAGTACCTTGACGACAGCTCAACCGTGCAAACCATTACAGAAATTTATCTGCAGAGGCTCGAGTCAGCAATTTTATGTACTTTCAATTTACTCCGAGTATTTCCCTTTTTTTCTCACTGATATTTCTTTCATTATGATTATCAAAGGAATTCCCTAGTTCTCTAGTTCCCAATGCGAGTACACCATTCATTCGGATTTTATTGAATGAAGTGCATTCGACTGAGCAGAAAATAATAATTCCATTAATTATTTCATTCATATTTTTCATTTGGTTTTCATTTCATTAATTGGATAGAGAATTTTTTTACTCGTTTGTTTCTGTTCGGTTTGCATGGACAAAATACAAATTATTTTTTACGATTGGAACTTAGTAATTCTTAATATGAGAAATATGATGCTGGACCATATCTGCCACACTCCAAAATTTACAAATTTAGATTGGTAATTTTGAGAACAAATAAAAAACTGCGACGTAGTGGATAAAAATTAATAGATAAAATTAAAATATGATGACCGTTGGAAAAATTACTGTTAAACATAGATTTTTATTGTAGCTCTCGGCTATTTTTCAGTCAGTTGCCTGATTTTTGGTGCTGCAATAAAAAATAAATAAAAATTTCGGGCATTACGAAATATATGAAAATATTTCGTAATGACCAAAATTTTTTTATAGAGCGAATTAAAGCCCACAAAGAAGATCATACCAAAAAATTGGCTATATCTCCTAGATTTCGAGACATTCATTGAAAACTGGCCGACAGTCAAAATCGATTTAAACCGTTTTACCGCTTCGCTACAGAATTATTTTTTCGTCCGTGCATTTTACACTGATTTGTCCATTAAAAATTACTATGTTAAATCGTGAAAAATTAATTCACATCCCAAACATTCAGCTAAAGTAAATCAAATTGTCAAGGTTTCCGGTATGGAAAGCCCCATCCCTCTCGATTACTACGTTCACATACTAATTTTTAATTTTACATTCACTCCATTTGAGCCGAGTCGATTAGTTAATTCTCACCAGTTAATTCGTAAAAACTTCATCCACGGGGAATGAGATTACACGTCACAAATTTATCACAAATTTAGATTGGTAATTTTGAGAACAAATAAAAAACTGCGACGTAGTGGATAAAAATTAATAGACAAAATTAAAATATGATGACCGTTAGAAAAATTACTGTTAAACATAGATTTTTATTGTAGCTCTCGGCTATTTTTCAGTCAGTTGCCTGATTTTTGGTGCTGCAATAAAAAATAAATAAAAATTTCGGGCATTACGAAATATATGAATATATTTCGTAATGACCAAATTTTTTTTATAGAGCGAATTAAAGCCCACAAAGAAGATCATACCAAAAAATTGGCTATATCTCCTAGATTTCGAGACATTCATTGAAAACTGGCCGACAGTCAAAATCGATTTAAACCGTTTTACCGCTTCGCTACAGAATTATTTTTTCGTCCGTGCATTTTACACTGATTTGTCCATTAAAAATTACTATGTTAAATCGTGAAAAATTAATTCACATCCCAAATATTCGGCTAAAATAAATCAAATTGTCAAGGTTTCCGGTATGGAAAGCCCCATCCCTCTCGATTACTACGTTCACATACTAATTTTTAATTTTACATTCACTCCATTTGAGCCGAGTCGATTAGTTAATTCTCACCAGTTAATTCGTAAAAACTTCATCCACGGGGAATGAGATTACACGTCGTGCCTTGTACTCCTCTCCTCGTCGACGAAATTTTTTTCAGCGTTGTCTCGAATTCTCCGGGGAAGGCTGTAAGACGGGTTAACGAGCAAAAAGCCGGACCCCCAGGCCTTCTCAACTCTTTTCTTTACAGGCTCTCTTTGACCTTTTTTCCCCAACGTCTACGAACTGTGTCGAGATATGTGTAACAAGCTGTCCATTTTTCTTCATCTGACGAACCAATTTCTAACCCCTTTCCTATTTTTGTATTTTTTATTCGGTGGGAGAACATTCCTCTTGCACCGGATGCACGGAGGTCACGAGTCATTCAGCATAATTTTTAAATAACAAGGGATGAACTGCATTCGGGAGAAATATTTGCGTGGCGTACTCACTGCGAGAAAAAGTATCAGTTCGTATCATTCGACAGAAGGAATAAAAAATACGTAATAAATGTGTTTATCACATATTTTCGTCTCGAGATGAAGTCAGTGTGCAGGAAATGCTCTTAATGTTCGGCGGAGAAAACTCCGAGTGCTTGATAGAATTTTTATACGGTGGGAGAATCAATTTAGAAGAATATGTTTCTAAAATTCAGTTTTACTTCGCTTCGAGGGCGTCCTTTTTTCGTGGAAGAATTCTCCAACTGTATTCTTTTATTTATACAAGCTGATACTTCCTCTAGTGCTGCACTACAAATTTTTATTAGAAACATCTGTCGTACAATCCTGAGACTGGATTAATTTATTCAGTGGTTGAGAAAAGTGATTCATTCTCAATGAGATTTACAAACTGAATAAACCCTTTGCAAGAAAAATCATTCTGGAACGAAGAATGTATTTCTGACGAATTGTCAGTTTTTTTCTAGAGCCCAGATGTGCCTGAACGTCTCAGTGTTGGATGAAAAATATTTGGAATAAATATGCGCGTGAAGTGCTCAACGTGAAAGAAAAGCTTGAAGGGAATGTCTGTACTTTTAAACAGAGGGAATAACATATTTGTTATAAATTTTTTCGCACAACACTCGAGATGAAGTCTCGAGACGAAGTCAGTCTGTAGGGAATGCTTGTGATATTCGGCCGAGAAAATTCAGAGCGCGTAGTAGAATTCTCTCCAGGTGGGAGAGTAAACTTAGAAGAATATGTTTCAAAATTCAGTTTCACGTTGCCCTGAAGGCATCTCCTCTTCATAGATAAATTCTCCAGTTACATTCTTTTCTTTCTCTGCACTGAGACTCAATCTATTTAATCCAGTTGTATGTCAAGATCTTTTCAC